TGTGCTATTGCCCTACACCAACCCTACACCTAAACCTACCCCTCACAGGAAACTTTCTGCATTTTTACTTTCTAAAAAAAAACTCATTCTGTATGATTTATAAGCTTTTGTACCCGTGGGGTACACCTAAATTAACACCTAAACCTCAATTTAGGTCCCCACCGTGACACGAGTCCCCATGAGTCTGTGTGTATTCAGGTTTAAGTCCCCACCAGGATATATAAACCAGTACACCTCCACACACACACACACACACACACACACACACTCTCTCACACACACACACTCTCTCACACACATACACTCACACACACTCACACACTCTCCCCGCATGCTAATACTTACCGTCGCTGTCACTTTATCCCAGTCCGATATAAACACACGGAAACCTTCACCGAACACGGCACCCGCCGTCCTGAAACACACAGCGAAACGGTCACATGACTACATGAAGACAGTCACATGACCACATCCAAACCTGACTATAATTGTGTTTATGATTCACAAATGTGAACTTTTGATTTTGTGTTGTACTTTATCATAATATATTAATTTATATTATAATAATTTTATTGAAATGCAAGAACAACTGAAAATATATTTTTAGTTTATTTAATTTTTTCATTTGAATGTTTTAAACACTAAAAGTGTTTTTATGACTCCATACAAAATTAATTAAATAGCGTTGTATTTATGTATTTCAAATTATTTAAAAATGCAAACAAAATATTTATAAATATCCCAGAAATAAATATACTGCTCACAAAGTATTACCATATGCCTTTTGTAAACACTTTGTGAACAGTATATTTATTTCTGGGATATTTATAAATACTTTGTTCGCATTTTTACCTAAAAATAAAATATACAAATAAATAAATAAATACAACACTATTTAATTTCTTTTGCATGGATTCATGAAAACATTTTTAATCAAAGACAATTATAGATATTTTGTTAGCAATTTTACATAAAAATTGCTAAATTATAAAAATACATAAAAAAATATTTGTAACTATTTCATTTTATTTGAAATAATATGATTGTTATAAATGTATAAAAAAAAATATCTATGAAACATCTGAATATTTCTGCTGAAGTGAGTGATGTTACCGTATGGACTCGAGGACGGTCTGTCGGTGCTCGGCCGCCTTCAGTCTGATCTGCTCGCGGATGATGTCAGCATTTTCTCTCTCCACGCGTGCGCGAGCTTTAGACTCCGCCTCCACGCGCAGCATCTCGTTCTTGTGCCGCAGCTCCATCTCGTGCTCGACGGTCGCTGTGGAAACACACACGCGATCACGTTCAGATGACGGAGAACACGAGCGCCAGCTTTTCAGAATGACCTCAGTCGGCCTCACCTCTCCTCATGGCTTCCTGCTTCTGCACAGACTCTTCCTGTTTGTGCAGGTTCTCCTCGTTCAACAGTTGCTGTGGAGGAAGGGAGGAGGCGTTAGACAGACACGAGTCTGGGAGAGACTGAGAGGAGTCTGAGAGAGGTCTAAGACGAGTCTGAGGGGAGTCTGAGAGGAGTTTACAAGTCTGAGAGGAGTCTGAGTACAGTCTGAGAGGAGTCTGAGGAGAGTCTGAGAGGAGTCTGAGAATCTAAGAAAGTCTGAGAGGAGTCTGAGAGGAGTTTGAAAGTCAGAGCAGTCTGAGAATCTAAGAAAGTCTGAGAGGAGTCTGAGGAGAGTCAGAGTCAGAGAGGAGTCTGAGAGGAGTTGGAAAGTCTGAGAGGATTCTGAGAATCTAAGAGAGTCAGAGAGGAGTCTGAGAGTAGTTGGAGATTCTGTGAGTCTGAGAAAGGAGTCTGGGAATCTAAGAAAGTCTGAGAGGAGTCTGAGAGGAGTTTGAGAGAGGTCTAAGATGAGTCTGAGGGGAGTCTGAGAGGAGTTTAAAAGTCTGAGGAGAGTCTGAGAGGAGTCTGAGAATCTAAGAAAGTCTGAGAGGAGTCTGAGAACCTAAGAATGTCTGAGAGGAGTCTGTGAGGAGTTTGGAAAGTCTGAGATGAGTCTGAGAGGAGTCTGATTATCTAAGAGAGCCTGATAGGAGTTTATAAGTCTGAGAGGAGTCTGAGTACAGTCTAAGAGGTGTTTGAAAGTCTGAGAGGAGTTTAAAAGTCTGAGAGGAGTCTGAGGAGAGTCTGAGAGGAGTCTGAGAATCTAAGAAAGTCTGAGGAGAGTCAGAGAGGAGTCTGTGAGGAGTCTGAGAATCTAAGAGAGTCTGAGAGGAGTGTTTGGAAAGTCTGAGATGAGTCTGAGAATCTAAGAAAGTCTGAGAGGAGTCTGATTATCTAAGAGAGCCTGATAGGAGTTTATAAGTCTGAGAGGAGTCTGAGTACAGTCTAAGAGGTGTTTGAAAGTCTGAGAGGAGTTTAAAAGTCTGAGAGGAGTCTGAGGAGAGTCAGAGAGGAGTCTGAAAGGAGTCTGGGAATCTAAGAAAGTCTGAGAGGAGTCTGAGAGGAGTTTGAGAGAGGTCTAAGACGAGTCTGAGGGGAGTCTGAGAGGAGTCTGAGAATCTTAAGAATGTCTGAGAGGAGTCTGTGAGGAGTTTGGAAAGTCTGAGATGAGTCTGAGAATCTAAGAAAGTCTGAGAGGAGTCTGAGGAGAGTCAGAGTCAGAGAGGAGTCTGAGAGGAGTTGGAAAGTCTGAGAGGATTCTGAGAATCTAAGAGAGTCAGAGAGGAGTCTGAGAGTAGTTGGAGATTCTGTGAGTCTGAGAAAGGAGTCTGAGAATCTAAGAAAGTCTGAGAGGAGTCTGAGGAGAATCTAAGAAAGTCTTAGAGGAGTCTGAGGAGATTCAGAGAGGAGTCTAAGAGGAGTTGGAGAGTCTGAGAGGAGTCTGAGAATCTAAGAGTGTCTGAGAGGAGTTTAAAAGTCTGAGAGGAGTCTGAGTACAGTCTAAGAGGAGTTTGAAAGTCTGAGAGGAGTCTGATTATCTAAGAGAGTCTGAGAGGAGTTTAAAAGTCTGAGATGAGTCTGAGTACAGTCTAAGAGGAATTTGAAAGTCTGAGAGGAGTTTAAAAGTCTGAGAGGAGTCTGAGGAGAGTCTGAGAGGAGTCTGAGAATCTAAGAAAGTCTGAGAGAAGTCTGAGATTCTAGGAAAGTCTGAGATGAGTCTTAGGAGAGTCGGAGTCTGAGAGGAGTCGGAGCGTCTGAGAGGAGTCTGAGGAGAGTCTGAGAGTCAGAGAGGAGTCTGAGAGGAGTTGGAGAGTCTGAGAGGAGTCTGGGAATCTACGAAAGTCTGGGAGGAGTCGGAGAATCTAAGAAAGTCTGAGAGGAGTCTGAGGAGAGTCTGAGAGGAGTCAGAGGAGTTGGAGAGTCTGAGAGGAGTCTGGGAATCTAAGAAAGTCTGAGAGGAGTTTGAAAGTCAGAGCAGTCTGAGAATCTAAGAAAGTCTGAGGAGAGTCAGAGAGGAGTCTGTGAGGAGTCTGAGAATCTAAGAGAGTCTGAGAGGAGTCTGAGGAGAGTCTGACAGTCAGAGAGGAGTCTGTGAGGAGTTGGAGAGTCTGAGAGAAGTCTGGGAATCTAAGAAAGTCTGAGAGGAGTCTGAGAGGAGTTTGAAAGTCAGAGCAGTCTGAGAATCTAAGAAAGTCTGAGAGGAGTCTGAGAGGAGTTTGAAAGTCAGAGCAGTCTGAGAATCTAAGAAAGTCTGAGAGGAGTCTGAGGAGAGTCAGAGTGGAGTCTGAGAGGAGTTGGAGAGTCTGAGAACCTAAGAGAGTCTGAAGAAACGCACCTGCTGCCGGAGCTGCTCCTCATACCGCTGCCGTGCCAGCTTGTCCTGATACTGCGCCCTCTGGGGATGAAAGAATCACCTTAATCATCACCATCACCATCATCATCATGCACTCAGAAGCACGACTCACCGACTGGTGCTGTTTGGTCTCCTCGTTCAGAGTCTTCCTGCGCTCATCTGCCTGGATGCGGATCTGATCGCCCTTCAGCTGCTCCACCGCTGCCTCGTACTCCTGACACACGCAACACACACACACGCAAAACAGTGTAGAAGTGTAACCTTCTCCGCATAAAATGAAATAAGAGTTTTAATTCTATAGTACAAAATGAAGAATAAATAATGTGCATCTGGTGTGTTTGTGGCTGTTTCTATTCATTTATGAAGGTGCTGTAAATCAAACCATTATATATTCATTATATATAATTATACAATACTACAATCCTATTTTGTACTTAAGTACAACTTTTGCATGAAGAGTACTTTTTTTTTTTTTGGACATGCAACTTAACTGCATAAAGCCCTTTCCACCGCAAGATAAAACAATAAAACAGGTAATAACTTTATCTCATAATTCAGACTCTGTGAGATAAAAAATTGCAAAAAGTCAAAACAGCGAGATACAAACAATCTGATTTCTGTCTTTCTCACTATTCTGACTATTTTCTCGCAATTAAAAGAAAAAAATCTGAATTGCGAAATAAAGTCACAATTGCCTTTTTATTTTTTATTCTGTGGCAGAAAAAATGGAAATGCAAGATATAAACTCACAACTGCAAAATAAAACAGAATTTTTACCTAAAAATAAAATATAAAATATAAACAAATATTAACAATGTTGTTACATATAAACATTAACATATTTTTGTGGTATCATGAAAACACTTTTTATCAGGGAGATTTATAAATATTTTGTAAACATTTCTACCATAGCATTTTATTCTAAAATAAATAAAATATATAAATAAATATGAAAATATTTGATTCGTTCTTACGGAGTCCTGAAAACATTAATTAATATTATTATTGTTGTTATAAATGTTCAAAATAAATATTTTTATTTGGACTCTGTGTGGTGATCTGGACATGATCTGGACTCAGTGTGGCGATCTGGACTCAGTGTGGCGATCTGGACTCTGTTTGGCGATCTGGACTCAGTGTGATCCGGATCTTACCTTGATTCTGGTCTGGTGCTCCAGCTGAACGGTCTGCTCCTGCATGCGCGCCAGATCCAGCGCATCTTTGGCGTGATCTGCGGTCACAGGGGTCAATTCAATTCAATTCATGTTTATTTGTAGAGAGCCTTTTATGATACAGATCGTTGCAAAGCAGCTGTACAATATGTTTCTACAATATTTAGTGGTAGCTTATCAGTGGTGACTGTCAGTTAATGTACATATGGCAGAAATGTACGGAAACATCAATTAAAGACGTAATCAAACAGACGGTGAACACTATTAACAGCAATTATTATATGATGCAATCAAACTTATAGCAAAATGTGGTAGTTCTGTATGTTGTTTCAGGGTTGGCATCATCTGAGGTCCTCTGAGGGGTCACACATCCCCAGAACTGACCTCTGACCCCGTGCCCTTCACATGATCGCGACATCCGGGCAGTGAATGATACTCACGTGATCGGTCCAGCTCTTTGGCCGCCTGCGCCGCGCGTTCCAGCCCCGTCGGGTCGAAGTTGCTCCATTTGTCCTTGGGTCTGTCGCCCGAACCGGAACCGGAGCCGCCGGCGGGAGGAGGAGGAGGAGTGGGCGGAACCGGAGCGTCCGGCGGAGCGCCGCTCTGACCTTTATTGAGCCCGAATAGCCACGACATGACCCGCCGACAGACACTCTCCCACACACTGATGAAGCCGCCGGGATCACCGATCACACACTTCCACTCCACGAGTGTCACGCCGCGCTCTGCGCATGCGCACTGCTCCTGACGCGCCGCCGCGCCGCCGCGCCGCGCTGATTGGCTGACGCGCTCGTCCTTCAGAAGGTCAGGGGTACGGTGGCCCAGAGGCGTCAGCGTGGGTCTTGCGTCACATGCGGCATTTGGGCGACTAAATTAAATTATTACTTCTAGCAAAATGTCATATTCACCGCAGTAAATCAAAGCTTAAAGCTTTCGTTTTGTGTGATTTATTTATTGTGATATACACGTATAAACGGTGCTTTGCGTGTAATGTCACCTCTTTGTACTTGATGTTGATATTTTATGTACTTTTATATTTGGTACCTTAATAAAAAAAAAGATTATTAGAGGAAACTGAAAACATGTAATCCTTCCTTCTTCTTCTCTTTCTCTTTCCTTTTTTCTCTGCTAGCTAATGTTAATATGATCGTGTGAATAATACCTCTTGTTCTTGTGGCATTGAATTAATAAAACATTAAAATATTATTACTGTACACTACAACTAAAAACATTTTTGTTACTTGAATAAAATATAACATAAAAACCTGGACTTGTTTCATTTCAGCAAGTTTCGAGGCAACGCTTCTCATTTTGGTGTACTAAACAGAATGAATAAAACTAGAACTGAAATAAAAATTAGACATATTAAAACAAAAAACGAATAAAAATTATTGTATATAACAATTGCTATAATTGTATAAAAATGCTAGTAAAATAAGTCAGTATTTTGTTGTAATTTGATAAATCGAGCCTCAAACATGAAATTAAGTGATTTGTTAGACCAGTGCTGTCATATATTCATGTAGAGCTGTAGATTAATCACTACATATGCTTAGATAGCAGTTAAATATAGATTTACATTCATATGGACACATCTGATAATTTCTCCTGATCAGTTTAATCTGCAATATGTCATCTTTCATGATAGACCATAACATGAGCTTTAGCTTGTAGTTCTATAACTGATGAGTGTTACAGCATTCACACTGTTCTTCTTCTGTTTATTACTGTGAATCTGCTTCAGAACAATCTGTATTGTATGCAGTGTGACTGAAACAAGACATGGTTATGATTATGAACTCAACACAGCAGCATTTGAACAGGAAAATGTTTTATTGATATCCACAAACAACACTTATTTACAGGAAGAGATCCAGAAAGGGTCACATGGTCAGCCGTGCTGTGCTGTGATTGGCTGCGTGATGCGTGAGAAGACCCCCGGCGGGAGGCTGCCGTCACCCAGCGCAGCTCTGAGGCCCTCGGTCCGGCGAGCACAGGCCAGAGCAGCCAGAGCCTTGAACGAGCGCGGCTCCGAGATACACAGATCACACAGAGCACGTCTGTTCAGCTGCACACTGCACTGAGAGCACAAACACACACGGTCAGTGAACACACACTCACACACACGGTCAGGATTCTCTACATTACGCATCATTTTTTGGTTCCTTTTTCACCGAACCTTAAGACAGAGTCTGATCTTTAAGTCATGGCCGCGGGCGCTGCGTCTGCCATCTGTGGGACAGAGGAGCTCTGAAGGTGCTTCTTACATGCAGTGGCCATTGACGTTAAGATCGTTTTTTCTGGAGAGCTCAATACATGAGTATCACGTTCCCCCTGCTCAAGACACAGTGGTGAAGCTATCCTCTTCACTCACACACACACACACTCACACACACACTCACTCTCACACTCACTCTCACACTCACTCACTCTCACTCTCACTCACTCACTCACTCTCTCACTCTCACTCACTCACTCTCACTCTCTCACTCTCACTCACTCACTCTCTCTCTCTCTCTCACTCTCTCTCTCTCTCTCACTCTCTCTCTCTCTCTCACTCTCTCTCTCTCTCTCACTCTCTCTCTCTCTCTCACTCTCTCTCTCTCTCTCACTCTCTCTCTCTCTCTCACTCTCTCTCTCTCTCTCACTCTCTCTCTCTCTCTCACTCTCTCTCTCTCTCTCACTCTCTCTCTCTCTCTCACTCTCTCTCTCTCTCTCACTCTCTCTCTCTCTCTCACTCTCTCTCTCTCTCTCACTCTCTCTCTCTCTCTCACTCTCTCTCTCTCTCTCACTCTCTCTCTCTCTCTCACTCTCTCTCTCTCTCTCACTCTCTCTCTCTCTCTCACTCTCTCTCTCTCTCTCACTCTCTCTCTCTCTCTCACTCTCTCTCTCTCTCTCACTCTCACTCTCACACTCACTCACTCTCACTCTCTCACTCACTCTCTCACTCTCACACTCACACTCTCACTCTCACACTCTCACTCTCACACACTCACACACACACACACACACTCTCAC